TATATATATCTCCTCAATATATGTTCCATTCTATATGCATCCGAAGAAGTGGGCTGTAGTCCACGAAAGCTTATGCTCTAATAAATTTGTTAGTCTCTAAGGTGCCACAAGTACTCCTGTTCTTTTTATAAAATTGATGGGCATAAATATCTAAGATGGTGAAACAAACAGCCATGGCCCCTGGGAGCAGATCCTGGCCTGAAAGTTTGGTCAGCAATGTATTAAAAAACTGTGGGAAGAATTTCACCTTGCAACATAGCAGCCATACTGGGGTCAGACCAGTATTTTGTCTTCCGACAGCGGTCAATGCCACGTGCCCCAGAGGGAATGAACAGAACAGGTAATCACCAAGTGATCCAGCCCCTGTTGCCCATTCCCAGTTTCTGGGAAACAGAGGCTAGGGACACCAGCCCTGCCCATCCTGGCTAATAGCCATTGATGGACCTATCCTCCATGAACTTATCCTCCCGTTTGAGGGCTTCCTGGCACAGGGAAGAGGAGTAAGCACCATACTGTCTGTTTATATAGAACATCGCTGTTGTATTGTCAGATCTTCCTTCCAGATGGCTTTGGAACGTCTGGCAAGCAGAGTGAACTGCTCTTAGCTCCCTGACATTGATATGCAATGAAAGTTCTGCCTGGGACCAGAGACCTTGAGTTGAGTCTTCCTAGGTGCAATCACCATCCCATTGCATCCGTGACTAGAAACAGTGAGGGTTGGGGCCTGAAGAAGGGTACTCCTGCACACACTACTTGCTGGTTGAGCCACCGCAGGAGGGACTCGATAACTGGAGGAGGAAGAATGACTGACTATCTTGTCTAGACGGTCCTGGATTGACCTGTATACTGAGGCCAGCCAGGCCTGACGAGGTTGGAGCCGCAGTGTCGCATGCTGAACTACATACAAGCAGCCCTATGACCAAGCAGCGTCAGGCAATTTCGCTCTGTAGTAGTGGGGTATTGTTGTATGTCCTCTCTGATGGCACCCATGATCAGAAAACACGATTCCGGAAGGAATGCTTTGGCTTGACCTGAGTCTAGGAGAGCTC